CAAAAACCGCAGGGAAACTGAAAACAATTAAGGATTTCTTTATTCCTTCCAACTTTAACCATGTGATTGATGCAGTCAGGTCTGTGGCTGGATATGATGAGGAAACAAATCAATACAAGACTCCATCCTTGGCCCTCAAACTCGGCCATAGCCTCAGAAAGCTAGCAGATATTCTTGAATGTGACTCAAAAATGGAGCATTGTGTTGATGAACTATTTATTAAAAACCTCCAACGAAGCCGGCTGCTTTTTGAGAAGAGGTGGGACGTCTGTGTTTCTTCTGCTGCCCTACAGACCCTCCGGCAAGCCAAGTGGAACACTCCGGACCTGCTTCCTCTGACTGAGGACGTTAGAGCCATGCATGCACATATTGAGGTATGTCGACCTGAATATGTGCAAACCCTAATAAGTGAGCCAACGTCTAAGCATTGGTCTAAACTGGCAGTTTTGACTCTTTGTGAGGTCATCATTTTCAATCGAAGAAGGGAAGGTGAGGTTTCAAAGATGCCACTGACAGCCTTTACCTTAAGAAGTAAGACTGGGATCCATTCTGACATTGCTCTGGGACTGTCCCAACTTGAGAAAAAGCTGTGTCAGCATTTTCAACGCATTGAAATTAAAGGGAAAAGAAGTCGGAAAGTGCCGGTTCTTTTGACTCCTGAAATGATTGCTTCGATGGAGGTGCTGGTGGAGAACAGAAGGGCCTGTTCCATCTCTGACCATAACCCATACTTCTTTTCCCGCCCGGGCGCAGACACCCACATCAGGGGATCAGACTCCCTACGCCAGGTAGCCAAAGAATGTGGTGCGGTGCATCCAGAGATGCTATCCTCAACCAAACTTAGAAAGCACATAGCTACTATGTCTACAGTTCTCAATATGAAAGAGAATGAGATGGACATACTTGCCAACTTCCTCGGCCATGACATTCGCATCCACAGGCAATATTACAGACTACCAGAGGGGACACTGGAGCTGGCCAAAATCAGCAAAGTGTTGATGGCCATGGAGCAGGGAAGAGTGACGGAATTCGAAGGAAAGAGCCTCGACCAGATACAAATTGAGCCTGAAGGTAATTCTTGATATTATTAAAATATGTATGATTTTTTTCCCCTAAAGGCCACTTGTATTTTTATTTTCTGTGCGACAGGGAGAGCAGTAGAGATCCTCTCACAAACGGACGGGCTAAAAGAAACTTCAAGCGGAGAACCTTCAACCATTCATCCAGATGCACCCCATGGTAGTGGCAGTGCCCCTTCTGGTAAGTGTACCAGGTGGGGGATTACAGCCAGGCTGCTTGGTCCTCACCCTGGGAGTGTATATTGCTAATATATTTTTATTTCTCTCCCTAGAACGTGTAAGAAAGCCATGGTCTGCATCTGAGGTGAAGGCTGTGGAGAAGACCATGACACCTTTCATACAGACTGGAAAGGTCCCTGGGAAGTCTCACTGCCTGGCCTGCATTAATGCCTCACCAGATGACCTTAGACATCGGACATGGAGTGGCATTAAATTCTATGTCAAAAATAGAATCACTGCAATTCGAAAACAAAATCTAAAATAAAATTCCTTTAAAATAGTTGTTTGGTTTCTATTGACTGTTTTGTATTACTTAAAGTCTTGGTAAAAAAAGATTATGTCTATGGGTCCCATTCTGAACGGCCCTGTCAAAGGGACCCACCAGGTAACAAAAACGTGTATGTGTGTGTGTGTGTGTGCGTGCATGTGTGTCTGGTGTGTGTGTGTATGTCAGACTACGTCACAGAGTATAAGCTTAAAGCTGCACTAACTGACTTTGAGCCTCTGCTCATGCTAACTGTTTACAGAGCTCACGTCTCACAATATGGACACATTTGAACGTGGATGGCGTGACCATAGAATGATTGAACCGGGAAGCACGGAGGAACGGGACTTTCTTTTGGCTGCTTCGCTGTTTAAGCAGTAACCGGTAACGAAGACACGGGAAGCTTCAGGTTAGCCTCCGCCGCTTGTTTACCTCAGCTGTTTGTGCTAACGAAAGACAAAGAAAGTGGGGGCTAGCGGTCCGCTGTGATTGGTCACAATCGGGACCCGAAACAAATTCTCTTCATTGTTTCATAAAAACTCGATCTAAAATTAAACGACACGCCAGCACAAATCTGCGCTACTTATTCTTCAAAAGGACGTATATCCCAATGCACTGCACGGATATGGATAGCATTTTTCTAATGAATACGAAAATAAAGTCAGTTAGTGCAGCTTTAATCCAACCCCTTTTCGTACCAGGTACAAGTTATTTGTCAGTTATATTGATATGTAATAATATGTATTGGGCAGGTTTTTAATAAATACAAAATAATGATAAAACATGGATTGGTCTCTCTCTCTCTGGTCTCTCTCTCTGGTCTCTCTCTCTGGTCTCTCTCTCTGGTCTCTTTCTGGTCTCTCTCTGGTCTCTCTCTGGTCTCTCTCTGGTCTCTCTCTGATCTCTCTCTGGTCTCTCTCTGGTCTCTCTCTGGTCT